TAAAAATTTAACATATTATATAAAAAATAATTAAATTTTTTATTCAAATAAAAGTACTTAAACAAAACATCATATAAAAAATCTTTTTCAATTATTATTTATATAAATTATTAAATTTTTATTTAAAATTTGTACCTAAAAATTCAAAAAATTAAATTAAATTTGCTAAAAATAAATAAAATAAATATTAATATTTTTGGGTTCAACCTTAACCTTTACATACTAAAATACGGTCAGTCTGAGCTATTTAGAAGGTTAATGATAGGCGTGCCCCGTCGGGCATGGAATGTGGGCGGTGGGTCATGGAATGTGGGTAGAATAGTTTTTGGAGAATTTATTGTCCAACAAGATTGAAGTCGTAGGCCCAGTCTACACCACACTTCGGCACCTTACATTAACAATCTGTACGAGACCGTCGGTTGCACGATTTGTTTGTAAAGTTATTTATATTTTTTATTTATAATTTTTACATTTAATTTATAATTTTTTATTTAGACAATTAAATTGTTTTTAAGATATTTTTATGTAAATTAAAATTAATTTTTCATCTAATAATTTAAAGGTGTACCTTTTTTTATTAATTAGATATATTTAAAAAAATTAATTTTTTAATTACTAACTTTAAATTTTAAATTTTACTCATAAAATAACACAAAAAAATAAATTCAAGTTTAAAGTTGAATCCCCATATAAAGGGTAAGGTTTATGTCTTTATAGACCACTATTTAAATTGTTAGGGTTATAAAAAATTATAAAAAAATTTAAAATGTAATTATATAACATTTTTGGTGTTCACAATAATTGCACCCTTTTTTTCTTTTTTACAGAGATAATAGTTAAGAGTTAAAAAGTTAAAAATTAATATTTTACTTTTTAATAAAGTTCAATCATTAATTGAAATCTAATTAATCGACAATCTTTTTAAATTACAATGATCATTAATGAACCACAATAAGAAATGCAATTGCACCCGTCTTTTACGCATCAAAATTAGATGCCGTGCTATTAGGGAAATTAATACTAGGCGTGACCGACGGGTCACTAATCCCATTCGAAGAAACATTAACAACAAGACAAGAAATGGGAAAAGTTTCTCCATGCCATCAAGGGAATCCTGAGGCCGACATTATTTTATTTTATTTCTGTACAATCAGCATTTATGTAGCAGAACTTAAAGTTGCTGCCTTTTTCACTCTAACAAGAACGGACAAGGACGTACGTGCAACACTAAAATAATACATTAACACGTACTTATATTACGATGTTTTTTAAAAATTTGAGTTATGATATATGAAAAGTATGAGAAATTAAAAAAATTAAATATATAAATAAAATTTTTTATATAATATCAAATTTAATATTTA